TTCACTCCTAAACTTAAGGTTACAAAAGTCATGTGGGAATTTCCAAGTGCAGGATGGCTAAAAGTTAATACGGATGGTGCATCGAGGGGAAATCCAGGCAGGAGCTCAATAGGTTTTTGTATAAGAAATGAAAATGGTGACATAGTCAAGTCAGTAGGGAAAGAGATTGAGGAGACAACAAACACAGTAGCTGAAGCGAAGGCCATGGTAGAAGCACTAAGGTTCTGCAGATTTCATCAATACTCACATGTATGGCTTCAAACTGACTCAATGTTATTAAAAAGATAATGGATGGGATCTGGAAACCATCGTGGATCATTTCTGAGCAGGTAGAGGAAATGATGCAACTAATGAAAGGGAGCAATTACACAGTTACTCATATTCATAGGGAGGGCAACAAGCTGGCAGACCACTTGGCTAATTATGCTTTAGATCATGGAGAAATAGAATGCCAACAATTCTGGCATTTATATGCACAGGGAAGGAGGTTGGTTAATGAAGATAAGCTGCAATGTCTAAATCTAAGGGTGAAGGTGAACAAGAGATATTAAGCAAAGAGAAAAGGAAGAGCAGGAGGCATGTCAACTTAATCGACCAATATATTCATATCCTAAGGGAGGAGGATATAATGGTTGGTATTTCTAACTATCTTTTCTCTAGTGCAGATGCCACTATGATGCTTATGGCAATCCATGCTGCAACTTTCGAGATAAATGATGCAAAAGAACAAAAACACATCAATAATCGAGCACAACAACAAAGACTAATGGCATTGGCAACCCAACCAGCATGGGCTGAAAGCGTGCTTTCAGTTCATTGGATATACAACCAGTATGGTGTAAAAGTGTTTAATACCACACGCATGGTTCAGTTACAAACAGGAACTGGGAATATAAAATTGATTATTCCTCATTTCGAGCACAACAAGAAGCAAATGGCATTGGAAACACAACTAGCATGTGCAGCAAATATGTTTTCGAGAAAAGCAGGCAACAAAGGCCAATGTCTTATATTAACGCATGCTTCAATCCACATTCGAATCAATAATCTTTTAATGTGCACACAAGGTTTAATGTGGAAGGCCTGACAGACAATACATGCTGGTGAGCAAAGGAATCAAATGGAAAAGTGGAATGCACATGGAAAGTTATCTAGGATACATAAAAGCATGCAATACTCTAGGATGAAGGTAATATGGGATATATTTCTTTATGATGCAGCTGTAGGTGGGGCTCACGTGCTTCCCACCACAAAGCTGTCTTCATCAGCTCAATCGATAAAGCAAAATGAACGCAACAAGGGGAAAAGATGCCATGCACGATAGTTTGCTGATTCAAATAGTTTGCTGAAATTGTGATTTTGGGAGTGGAAATTACAGCAGGAAAAACAACAACAACAATGGGAATTGGTGCATACGGATATCGACACTAACAGCAGTAATGAATGCACGCGCAAAGGATATTAAACACAGCAGCTAGAAAATGCTAAAGGACAACGAGCACGCAAAGGAGGCAGCTACATCTAACTGTGAATTATGGCTTTTTCGGAGTCTTAAAAATATTTTAATGTGCACACATGGTTTAATGTGGAAGGCATGGCAGATGACACATGTTGTTGAGCAAAGGGATCACATGGAAAAGGCTGTAGGTGGAGCTCACGTGCTTCCCACCACAAAGCTGTCTTGACTAAGTGCACTGGTATGTCACCAGCATATGTCGTGCATCGATGTCGGCTTCGTATCGATGTCGTGCAACAAGGACGAAGCAGATGTCGTGCACAAGGCATATATACAAGCTTAAGTGCACTGGTAGGTCACTAGCATGGACGAACGGATGTGGCAGCAGTGATCGAAAATGGAGGATCGACAATTGCAAATGGATTTGCACGCAAAGACTAATTGCTAAAGGTACCTCGAGGAGAGCATGTGAGTCTACTATGGATGATGGAGGGAACTCGATATGGAAACAAAGTACATCATGTGTTAAAGAAGGAACGTTGCATTGTACCTTTCACATGCACATTCTTGGATGCAGAATTGTATTTCAAAGTTTAATTGCATTAATGTGACATCAATGTTGAGTGCAACACTCAATTTTGATAATAGGATACTTGTTACGTTCAAATTTTATTTCTTTCTTTCAGTTCGTAGGATATCATGACATTTTATTTCGTATTTTATATGGTTATTAATAAAACTAGCCCTAGGCGTTTTCCTAGCGGACTAAAAAAAATAGGGTTACAGACGCCATGTAGCTACCTCGAAATCTCCAGCAACCTCTGGATCAGCTGAGGACCCTCACTCTGCCACTCGGGCACTTAGATCTGCACACAAGGTGCAGGGAGTAGCGTGAGTACGCCAACTCAGTAAGTAACTAAAGTAAATAAGGTCTGAAAGCAGTGACGAGCATTTAAAAATCATATAACTGAATAAACAACAGAATAACAGGTCAACTTCGCAGTTTAAAACCAGTTTCATCGTAAAATCATCAATTTCAGTTTAAACACTTGAAATTATATACTTAGCAATTTTTCCAACAGAAGCTTATTTAAAAGAAGAGTGAAATCAGTAAAAATATCATAACTGGGCCCCTCGGGAAAGGTATCACTCAGAATATGGCCTCTCGTGCAGCCTCTCAATCACTCGTGATTCAGCTCTCATCACCCAGTACTCACTCTCAGCACTCAGGCTCATTAATATCTCATAACAGTAATAATCATAGTAACTGCTACGGCGTGCAGCCCGATTCGTAATTTATAGTCGACTACGCTCACTGTGGATGTGCAGACTCCGGAGGGGCTCCTACAGCCCAGGCGTTATAACGCTGCGGCGCGCAACCCAATCCAATACATATATTGATGCGGCGTGCAGCCCGATCCATATAAGTATCGTTGCAGCGTTCAGCCCGATCCATAATACATAAATATAATATCCTCACAATCATGTTCTCAACCTCTCTCAGTCATTAACCTCACAGCCTCTCGAGCACAACAATAGAAATTAGGGAACTCAACCCAAACAGTCCTCACAATTAGAAGTGGAAAGATAAAACTAGTCTTAAACATTTAAACATGTAAAACATGACTGAGGATATGTTTCTAGCAAGTAAAGTGAGGAAAAATAGTCAAAATGCCCCTAAGGGTTTCTACAGGTCGGCACAAGACCCCAAATTTGGCATACAACCCATAATACAGTATAAATATCCAAAATACAGAATAATATAATATTTCCAAATCAAATGCGCAGCTTAGTAATCGCTACGGGACGGACCAAGTCACAATCCCTATCGGTGCACGCCCACGCGCTCGTCACCTAGTATGTGCGTAATCGCATTTATAAAAATAAGTCAAATACCAGGGTTTGTACCCTCAGTTCCAGATTACAATGGTTACTTACCTCAAACCGGTGAAAATACTACTCCGCGACGCCTTTGCTCCTCGAATTGTCCTCCACTCGCGTCGAATCTATCCAAAATCAGAATCACGGCGTCAAAATATGCTATGGGAACGAAGCCCAAGCGAAAACAATCATATAATACCAAGAGTCTTGAAATTACCAAAACTCGACCCTCGGGCCCACGTCTCGGAATTCAATAGTTTTTGCATCAATAGATTCCTTATCTCCCACGAATTTATACATATCAAAAGTTCTCAAATCCGACCCCAAATGGTCTTTCAAATCGTCAATTAAAGGTCTAAATTTCAAAGCCCTAGTTCTTCAATTTTTGGCTTAATTTCCATGACTTTCTAGGTGGAATTCACATAATAATCGAGTTTTAAGTTCGACAATCTTACCTCTAAGTGATTCCCCTTGAATCCCTCTTCAATCTCATTCAAAAAGTTATAAAAAGGACTAACTATGGAGGAAATAAACCTCACATTCGCGGACAAAATGACCTTTTAAACTTCTGCCCAGGCCTGAAAATCCTTCTTCGCGAATGCGGTCAAAGTCTTGCGTTCGTGAAGCATAAAAATAACTTTGACCAAAATCCTCTTATGCGAACGCGACGCGACAAGACCCTCGCGAATGCGATGCTTTACCCAGACGAAACTTCGCGAACGCGTTCCAGCCATCGCGAATGCGATGGGTTAATTCCACTGAAGCTTAGTCTCTCAATTCCTTCTATGCGAACGCGACTATACGCACGCGAACGCGATGCACAATCTCGTAGCCCTTCGCGAACGCATAACCTTCCTCGCGAACGCGAAGGCTAAATTTTTACATCCTCAACTGACTCTTCGCGAACGCGAGGGTCCACTTGCGGACGTGAAGAGTAAATACATGCAACTGCTGAACCTGCAATTTCTGCAACTTTCTTAACTTCAAAATGATCTGATTAACCACCCGAAACTCATCCGAGGCCCCCAGGACCACAACCAAAGGCACAAACACATCCTAATACCTTATTCAAACTTATTCTAATCATCAAAATACCTCAAATAACATCAAATCACCCAAAATACATCGGATTCAAGCCAAACTTTTCTAAAATCTTCTGAATTCCGCTTTTGATCAAAAACCCAACCAAACCACGTCCGAGTGACCTGAAATTTTGCACACACATCCCAAATGGCACAGCGGAACTACTGCAACTCTCGGAA